AGTTATTGTTACAAAGTATTTTGGGTATCATATGTATACGAGTTATTGTTACAAAGTATTTTGGGTATTATATGTCTACGAGTTATTGTTACAAAGTATTTTGGGTATTATATGTATACGAGTTATTGTTACTAAGTATTTTGGGTATTATATGTATACGAGTTATTGCTACAAAGTATTTTGGGTATCATATGTCTACGAGTTATTGTTACAAAGTATTTTGGGTATCATATGTCTACGAGTTATTGTTATAAAGTATTTTGGGTATTATATGGATACGAGTTATTGTTACTAAGTATTTTGGTTATTATATGTATACGAGTTATTGTTACAAAGTATTTTGGTTATTATATGTATACGAGTTATTGTTACAAAGTATTTTGGGTATTATATGTATACGAGTTATTGTTACTAAGTATTTTGGTTATTATATGTATACGAGTTATTGTTACAAAGTATTTTGGGTATTATATGTATACAAGTTAGCGCCGCACTATTGTTACATGTCTATGTTTTGAGTGTGGGATCACTTGTGGGATCAAGTAGTTAGTTTTTTCACATTCTTTCATGATCACGCACATTGTCGTATTTTATTGAAGCCGTCTGTTATCATTTTTATTTATTTTTTTTTAATTTACTTCTATTCTATTCCTATTTCTGTTCTGATCTAGCAGCGCACGATTGTTATATTCAGGACTTTTTTTTTTTTCTCAGTAGGAACGCAGTTCCCGGCACCTCCAACACTGAATGTATGAAATGGCAAGGGATGCTGGGGTGTGCTCAAGGTTCTGTTGATGCTGGCTGCTGAGGGATCCATTGTCACTGATGGGAATTTAATTTTGCATGGGGGGGTCTATTGTTGCTTGGGGGGATACGTTGATGGGAGGGATATACTGTTGAGGGAGGAGTCTATTGTTGCTGGCTACCGGAGGTTCTATTTATACTGGCTGCTGTGAGATTTGTTGTTGCTGCTGGGGGTCTATAATTATTGGGGTGGAATTTTGTTGTGGGGGGTCCATTGTTGCTTTTTTTTTCCCTCAGTGGGAATGCAGTTCCGGCACCTCCAGCACTGAATGTATGAAATGGCAAGGAATGCTGGGGTGTGCTGAAGGTTCTGTTGATGCTGGCTGCTGAGGGATCCATTGTGACTGATGGGAATTTAATTTTGCATGGGGGGGTCTATTGTTGCTTGGGGGATACGTTGATGGGAGGGATATACTGTTGAGGGAGGATCTATTGTTGCTGGCTACCGGAGGTTCTATTTATACTGGCTGCTGTGAGATTTGTTGTTGCTGCTGGGGGTCTATAATTATTGGGGTGGAATTTTGTTGTGGGGGGTCCATTGTTGCTTTTTTTTTCCCTCAGTGGGAATGCAGTTCCGGCACCTCCAGCACTGAATGTATGAAATGGCAAGGAATGATGGGATGTGCTGGAGGTTCTATTGATGATGCTTGGCTGCTGAGGGATCTATTGTCACTGTTGGGAACCTCTGTTTGCATGGGGGCGTGTCAGTTGATAGGAGGGATATCCTGTTGAGGGAGTGCCTACTTATACTGGCTGCTGTGGGATCTGTTGTTACTGCCCTGGAGGTCTATAATTACTGGGGTGGTATTTTGTTGTGGGGGGTCCATTGTTGCTGGGGGGGTCTATTATGTGGGGAATCAATAGTTGCTGGCTATAGGGGATCTACTATATTATACAGCTTTTCTTGTTAAGTCCTCATGCACACTGGATGTTTTTACAGCGACTGCTTGTCTTTTTGACTTTTTTTCTACAGCCAATAAACCCCCCAGCATGTTATCCTAAGTGTCCATGTACACAGACTGGAATCCACGTTTTTTGGCAGGGGTGTTTTTTGGCTGGAAAAAAACCCAGGATTAGTGGGTTACTAGAGGATTTTTTTTTAGATGGAAAACGCTCTAATGCTAGAAAATGCAGCAAAAACGCGGGAAAACTGATGTTTTTGGACTGTTTTTGACTAAAAAAATATTTATTTTTTTCATTAAATAAACGTTGAAAAACCAGCTAAAAACGAATGAAAAAAAAACGCTGAAAAACTTGTGTTTTTAACATCAATTTACACAGCTAACGTTACCAGCGTTATTAAAATACCCCCCCAAGTGTGTGCATGGAGCCTAACACATTACATACAAATTACGTAGCACAACAAAATGATACGTGGTTCTGTATTCTCTAAAAGGGGTAGTACTGGGTGGTGGGTAGGGGACGGAATCAAGGGACGATGCTCGGAGGTGGGTAGGGGACGGAATCAAGGGACGATGCTCAGAGGTGGGTAGGGGTTGGAGACAAAGGATGGTGCTCGGAGATGGGTAGGGGATGGAGACAAGGGATGGTGCTCGGAGGTGGATAGAGGTTGGAATCGAGGGACGATGCTCAGAGAAGGGTTGGGTGGAGACAAGGGATGGTGCTCGGAGGTGGGTAGAGGGAAGAGAGACAAGGGATGGTGCTCGGAGGTGGGTAGAGGGCAGAGACAAGGGATGGTGCTCGGAGGTGGGTAGAGGGCGGAGACAAGGGATGGTGCTCGGAGGTGGGTATGGGGTGAGACAAGGGATTGTGCTCGGAGGTGGGTATGGGGCGGAGACAAGGGATGGTGCTCGGAAGTGGGTAGAGGGCGGAGACAAGGGATGGTGCTCGGAGGTGGGTATGGGGTGGAGACAAGGGATTGTGCTCGGAGGTGGGGTATGGGGCGGGGACAAGGGATGGTGCTCGGAGGTGGGTAGAGGGCAGGGGCAAGGGATTGTGCTCAGAGGTGGGTATGGGGTGAAGACAAGAGATGGTGCTCGGAGGTGGGTAGAGGCGGAGACAAGGGATGGTGCTCGGAGGTGGGTAGAGGGCGGAGACAAGGGATGGTGCTCGGAGGTGGGTAGAGGGAAGAGACAAGGGATGGGCTCGGAGGTGGGTAGAGGGCAGAGACAAGGGATGGTGCTCGGAGGTGGGTAGAGGGCAGAGACAAGGGATGGGTGCTCGGAGGTGGGTAGATGGGGGCGGAGACAAGGGATGGTGCTCGGAGGTGGGTAGAGGGCGGAGACAAGGGGATGGTGCTCGGAGGTGGGTATGGGGGTGGAGACAAGGGATTGTGCTCGGAGGTGGGTATGGGGCGGAGACAAGGACAATGGATGGTGCTCGGAAGTGGGTAGAGGGCGGAGACAAGGGATGGTGCTCGGAGGGTGGGGGTATGGGGTGGAGACAAGGGATTGTGCTCGCCTCGGAGGTGGGTATGGGGCGGAGACAAGGGATGGTGCTCGGAGGTGGGTAGAGGGCAGGGGCAAGGGATTGTGCTCAGAGGTGGGTATGGGGTGAAGACAAGAGATGGGTGCTCGGAGGTGGGTAGAGGGCGGAGACAAGGGATGGTGCTCGGAGGTGGGTAGATGGAGGGCGGAGACAAGGGATGGGGTGCTCAGAGGTGGGTGGGTATGGGGCGGAGACAAGGGATGGTGCTCGGAGGTGGGTATGGGGCGGAGACAATGGATGGTGCTCGGAGGTGGGTAGAGGGCGGAGACAAGGGATGGTGCTCGGAGGTGGGTATGGGGCGGAGACAAGGGATGGTGCTCGGAGGTGGGTATGGGGGCGGAGACAATGGATGGTGCTCGGAGGTGGGTATGGGGCGGAGACAATGGATGGTGCTCGGAGGTGGGTAGAGGGCGGAGACAAGGGATGGTGCTCGGAGGTGGGTAGAGGGCGGAGACAAGGGATGGTGCTCGGAGGTGGGTAGAGGGCGGAGGCAAGGGATGGTGCTCGGAGGTGGGTAGAGGGCGGAGACAAGGGATGGTGCTCGGAGGTGGGTAGAGGGCGGAGACAAGGGATGGTGCTCGGAGGTGGGTAGAGGGCAGAGACAAGGGATGACTTAAAAGGAGGGTATTTCCTGCACCAATTCTCTGAGGGAAAAAAAGCTCTAGTCATATCTATTATTATTTTGCTCCACATGCTGATTTGGAAAATATGCCGGACTTTGATGTCCATTGCAGATTCTGCTCGGGGAGAGAACCAATAACATGTCTCTATGAGCTCACACAGGAAGAAAAATTGCACCATCTACAGCCCACAGCTCTGCTGTGCCTGGGGAGGGTGAGGTTTCTGATGATCCCTTTATATCTTGGGGTGTGGCAGCTTCCAAACCACATTTGGCAATATCCTTGGGATCAGCCAACCAATGGTGTGCAGGAGTATTACACTGGTCATAGATGCCATTCTTGACCATTTGCCACAATTTATCCCCTGGCCACAAACTGAAGACAAGTGGAAGGAAGTGAAGGTGACTTTCTACCAGCGTGGTCAATTCCCTCAAATCTTGGGGGTTGTTGTACCACCATGGCAATCGGGGCCCCCAGGTGAAGTTGTGTGTGGTGCCAGGATGCATAATATGAGGGCTCAGGTGAGTTTCCCTGGGTCATAAGGAGGTGGGCTGTGGCATCACATTGGGTGGAGATCTCAGAACATAGGAGCAGAGGTCAGAGAGTGGCAAGAGAGGAAGCTATGATTATTCCTGGATATGAAGCCCATGTGTACTGCTTTTTTTAAGTGAGTGTAACCAGTTTTGTTGCCAATACATTTAAAAGACGTACTACACTATTATTCATCGGCATATGTCCTTCCTGTGTTTAGCTTTTAACCCTTGATGAGAGGTGAAACGTACGGAGATCCCTGCCAGTGTGAGGGGTCCCTGGAACCCTGTGCCTAAAGCCATATGAGGTCCACATAAGAAGGGTACACCTTTTTACCACTTCCCGTCCGGTGGATGTTTTATAAACGGAAGGACGATGGCAGTCCAGGGGCGGGTTGCCGTTCATAAAAACAGCACCCGCATTTTCAAGCTGTGCGCGCTCCCTGGGAAGGCGCAGCACCGCGATCCGGACACAGTGGAACACCGATCATCATACGGGACCGCTGTTCAAGGTCCTGATCATGTGATCACCGATTGGCCAATCAGTGATCACATGCAGAGTAGTAAGCAAGATGTCACTTCTGACATCATTGCTTACTACGTGTGAAATCTGTGAATGATCACAGAGGTCTCATGGTACAGGGCCATTCACAACAGCCTTGTACCATGTGACAAGCTGTGACCAATCACAGCTCATACAGCATTTCTCAATGGCTGCAAGAATGCTATGTAATTTACAGCCTTTATGGATGTAAATGCAATCGGTGTAAAAAAAAAATCTTCATCACCCCCCACAAGTAGTACAGTGTCACCATGGTGACCCTGTACTGCTAGGGTGACAGTATGTTAAAAAAAAAAAATAAAATAAAAATAAAAATGTAAAAAAAAAAAAAAATTTAAATTATAATTTTTGGTTATAAACTAATTTGGGTTATTTTATTTTTTACTAAAAAGATAACGGAATACATTTTGGCCAAGATTTATGATGAAATATTATTTATTTGCAAAATTTTATAAGAAAAAACACTTTTCAAAATTTTTGGACTTTTCCATTTATAAAAAAAATTAAAATCCCAGTGGTGAATAAATACCACCAAAATAAAGTTTTATATGTCTAAAAAAAAATTCATATGGGTACAGTGTTGCATGACTGCGCAATTATCATTCAAAGTGCTAGCGCTGAAAGATGAAAATTAGCCTGGGCAGGAAGGGGGGGGGGGAAAGTGTCCGGACTGGAAGGGGGGGGGGGGTAAGTGTCCGGACTGGAAGGGGGGGGGGGGAAGTGTCCGGACTGGAAGGGGGGGGGGGGAAGTGTCCGGACTGGAAGGGGGGGGGGGGAAGTGTCCGGACTGGAAAGGGGGGGGGGGGGAAGTGTCCGGGACTGGAAGGGGGGGGGGGAAGTGTCCGGACTGGAGGGGGGGGGGAAAGTGTCCGGGGAAGGGGGGGGGGGGGGGACTGGAAGGGGGGGGGGGGAAGTGTCCGGACTGGAAGGGGGGGGGGGGGGAAGTGGTCCGGACTGGGAGGGGGGGGGGGGGAAGTGTCTGGGAAGGGGGGGGGGGGGAAGTGTCCGGGATGGAAGGGGGGGGGGGGGGAAGAAAGTCCCGTGGTTCCCGGCCCCCTCTGCGCCGCTCCTATGGCGGTTCCCTGGCGCCCCCCTCTGCGCCGCTCCTATGGAAAAGGTTCCCGGCGCCCCCTCTGCGCCGCTCCTATGGCGGGGGGGCGCCCCCTCTCCGCCCCTCCTATGGCGGTTCCCGGCGCCCCCTCTCCGCCCCTCCTATGGCGGGTTCTCGGCGCCCCCTCTCCGCCCCTCCTATGGCGGTTCCCGGCGCCCCCTCTCCGCCCCTCCTATGGCGGTTCCCGGCGCCCCCTCTCCGCCCCTCCTATGGCGGTTCCCGCACCCCCCGCCCGCCCCTCCTATGGCGGTTCCCGGCGGACCCCTTTCCGCTCCTCCTATGGGGGGTACGTGGCGCCCGCTCCTCCTATGGCGGTACGTGGCGCCGCCCCTCCTCCTATGGGCGGTACGTGGCCCCGGGGAGTGTCCGGACCTCCTCCTATGGCGGTAACGTGGCGCCCCGCTCCTCCTATGGCGGTACGTGGCGCCCCCCTGCGCTCCTCCTATGGCGGTACGTGGCTCCCCCCTCTGCGCTCCTCCTATGGCGGTACGCGGCTCCCCCTCTGCGCGCTCCTCCTATGGCGGTACGTGGCGCCCCCCCTCTGCGCTCCTCCTATGGCGGTACGCGGCGCCCCTCTCTGCGCTCCTCCTATGGCGGTACGCGGCGCCCCCTCTGCGCTCCTCCTATGGTGGTACGTGGCTCCCCCTCTCCGCTCCTTTGCAGCAGGTCTGGATAATCCTTCCAAAATTCTGGACCCCTTTACGGCTCACATAGATGCTTTTTGCAGTTTTGATTTGCGATTTTTTTTTTCTTTTTTGTTTTTTTTTTTTTTTTTTTTTTTTTTTTTTTTTCCCTACGTGCGCATTTTACCGTGTTTTTTGTTCAGCTGTTATTTTTTTTTTTTTTACCTGCTTCCTCAATGCCCTATAGCAGAAATACTACTACAGGGCGGCAGGGGTGCGCAAAATCACTTGTGCATATATATATATGTGATTTTGCAGTTCCGGGTAGGGGTGCGTGCCCTACCTGCGCCTTGGCTGTCAATCACCGGGTCCTGGCTGGTGATTCCCCAGCAATCTCCAAGGATTTCTGGCATAAACAACACAGATCTCTCCCCTGTCGGCTCCGGCACGCTGCTTTGTATGGCTCTGCATAGCAGCATGCTCACAGTGAAACGCACACAGTTTAACCCTTTTGATCACCCCACATGTTAACAGTACTGGGAATGTCAGTGACACCAAGTCAGTCCAACCCCCCCCCCCCCCCCCCCCCCCCCCCCCCCCCCCCCCCCCCCCAGTGTCAGAATGTCCGCCGCAGTCCCACTATAAGTTGCTGATCGCCGCCATTACTAGTGTCTATCCCGCCATTTGGAGACGCGATAACTTTCACGTAAACCAATTAATTTACACTTCTTGGGATTTATTTTCTAGCAGACACGGAGTGGGATACAAAATTTATGACCAAATTTGATTTTTTTTTAAAATATATATATTTTTACTGCATTTGTTTAATATCAGTTTTTTTTTCAAAATTCTTCAAAATTTTTTTGGTTTTTTTTTTTTTTTATCACCAAAAACAAAAAATGCACAAAATACTGCCAAAAGAAAGCTCAGTTCATGGGGAAAAATTACATAAATTTAATTTGGGCGCAGAGTTGCATGACCGCGCAATTGTCAGTTAAAGTAAACTTTAACTGATAGTAAAGTACCCTGCAGTCTACCTATTTCTCACCCTGGCTTGCTGAGACCTGTAGTCCTACTTCTCACCCCTGGCATGCTGAGACCTGTAGTCCTACTTCTCACCCCTGGCATGCTGAGACCTGTAGTCCTACTACTTCTCACCCCTGGCATGCTGAGACCTGTAGTTGTCCTACTTCTCACCCCTGGCATGCTGAGACCTGTAGTCATCCTACTTCTCACCCCTGGCATGCTGAGACCTGTAGTCCTCCTCACCCCTGGCATGCTGAGACCTGTAGTCCTCCTTCTCACCCCTGGCATGCTGAGACCTGTAGTCCTCCTACATCTCACCCCTGGCATGCTGAGACCTGTAGTCGTCCTACTTCTCACCCTGGCATGCTGAGACCTGTAGTCCCTCCTACTTCTCACCCTGGCATGCTGAGAAAACCTGTAGTAGTCCTACTTCTCACCCTGGCATGCCGAGACCTGTAGTCCTCCTACTTCTCACCCCTGGCATGCTGAGACCTGTAGTCCTACTTCTCACCCTGGCATGCCGAGACCTGTAGTCCTCCTACTTCTCACCCCTGGCTTGCTGAGACCTGTAGTCGTCCTACTTCTCACCCCTGGCATGCTGAGAACTGTAGTTGTCCTACTTCTCACCCCTGACATGCTGAGACCTGTAGTCCTCCTTCTCACCCCTGACATGCTGAGACCTGTAGTCCTACTTCTCACCCCTGACATGCTGAGACCTGTAGTCCTCCTACATCTCACCCCTGGCATGCTGAGACCTGTAGTCCTCCTACTTCTCACCCTTGGCATGCTGAGACCTGTAGTCCTCCTACTTCTCACCCTGGCATGCTGAGACCTGTAGTCCTCCTACTTCTCACCCCTGGCATGCTGAGACCTGTAGTCCTACTTCTCACCCCTGGCATGCTGATTCCTGTAGTCCTCCTACTTCTCACCCTGGCATGCTGAGACCTGTAGTCCTCCTACTTCTCAACCCCTGGCATGCTGAGACCTGTAGTCCCCTCCTTTCTCACCCCTGGCATGCTGAGACCTGTAGTCCTACTTCTCACCCTGGAATGCTGAGACCTGTAGACCTACTTCTCACCCCTGGCATGCTGAGACCTGTAGTCCTCATCTCACCCCTGGCATGCTGAGACCTGTAGTCCTACATCTCACCCCTGGCATGCTGATTCCTGTAGTACATCTCACCCCTGGCATGCTGAGACCTGTAGTCCTCACTTCTCACCCCTGGCATGCTGAGACCTGTAGTCCTACTTCCCACCCCTGGCATGCTGAGACCTGTAGTCCTCCTACTTCTCACCCCTGGCATGCTGAGACCTGTAGTCCTCCTACTTTTCACCCCTGGCATGCTCACCCCTGGCATGCTGAGACCTGTAGTCCTACTTCTCACCCCTGACATGCTGAGACCTGTAGTCCTACTTCTCACCCTAGGAAGCCATGTTGGATGGACCGTTGTGCGTTTTCTGCAGAAAGTGCTACAATGGTCCTTGGTGTGAGCGGATCCTGACACCCGGGACATCGAAGGCACCATGCGGGACGGAGGAGATTCGGCCATTGTCACTGTCCGCGGGGAATATGATTTGCAGGAGGAAACATGTCAACAGCAAGTATTTGATCGCCATTTTGTTGCATTACGGTGCTGTGTTACTATAACTGACAATTGCTCGGGTGTGCAACGCTGCACCAAAATTACATTTATGTCTTCCCCTCCCCCTAGGCAATAAAATATCGCTGAAAGAAAGCTCAATTTGTGAGGGGGGGATGTAAATTTAACTTGGAGCGCAGCGTTGCATGACTGCGAAATTGTCGGTTAAAGTAACCTGTAGTCTGCCTACATCTCACCCTGGCATGTAGTCCTCACCCCTGGCATGCTGAGACCTGTAGTCCTCCTCACCCCTGGCATGCTGAGATCTGTAGTCCTCCTTCTCACCCCTGGCATGCTGAGACCTGTAGTTGTCCTCTATCTCACCCTGGCATGCTGATTCCTGTAGTCCTCTATCTCACCCTGGCATGCTGATTCCTGTAGTCCTCTATCTCACCCTGGCATGCTGATTCCTGTAGTCCTCTATCTCACCCTGGCATGCTGATTCCTGTAGTCCTCTATCTCACCCTGGCATGCTGAGACCTGTAGTCCTCTATCTCACCCTGGCATGCTGAGACCTGTAGTCCTCCATGTCACCCTGGCATGCTGAGACCTGTAGTCCTCCACCTCACCCTGGCATGCTGAGACCTGTAGTCCTACATCTCACCCTGGCATGCTGAGACCTGTAGTCCTCCATCTCACCCTGGCATGCTGAGACCTGTAGTCCTCCATCTTCTCACCCTGGCATGCTGAGACCTGTAGTCCTCCATCTCACCCCTGGCATGCTGATGACCTGTAGTCCTCCATCTCACCCTGGCATGCTGAGACCTGTAGTCCTCCATCTCACCCCTGGCATGCTGAGACCTGTAGTCCTACTTCTCACCCCTGGCATGCTGAGACTCTGTAGTCGTCCTACTTCTCACCCCTGGCATGCTGAGAACTGTAGTTGTCCTACTTCTCACCCCTGGCATGCTGAGACCTGTAGTCCTCCTTCTCACCCCTGACATGCTGAGACCTGTAGTCCTCCTACTTCTCACCCCTGGCATGCTGAGACCTGTAGTCCTCCTACTTCTCACCCCTGGCATGCTGAGACCTGTAGTCCTACATCTCACCCTGGCATGCTGATTCCTGTAGTCCTACTTCTCACCCCTGGCATGCTGAGACCTGTAGTCCTACTTCTCACCCCTGGCATGCTGAGACCTGTAGTCCTACTTCTCACCCCTGGCATGCTGAGACCTGTAGTCCTCATGCTACTTGTCACCCCTGGCATGCTGAGACTTGTAGTCCTCCTACTTGTCACCCCTGGCATGCTGAGACCTGTAGTCCCTCCTACTTCTCACCCCCTGGCATGCTGAGACCTGTAGTCCTACTTCTCACCCCTGGCATGCTGATTCCTGTAGTTCTCCTACTTGTCACCCCTGGCATGCTGAGACCTGTAGTCCTACTTCTCACCCCTGACATGCTGAGACCTGTAGTCCTCCTACTTGTCACCCCTGGCATGCTGAGACCTGTAGTCCTCCTACTTCTCACCCCTGGCATGCTGAGACCTGTAGTCCCTACTTCTCACCCCTGGCATGCTGATTCCTGTAGTTCTCCTACTTGTCACCCCTGGCATGCTGAGACCTGTAGTCCTACTTCTCACCCCTGACATGCTGAGACCTGTAGTCCTCCTACTTCTCACCCCTGGCATGCTGATTCCTGTAGTTCTCCTACTTCTCACCCCTGGCATGCTGAGACCTGTAGTCCTACTTCTCACCCCTGGCATGCTGAGACCTGTAGTCCTACTTGTTCTCACCCCTGGCATGCTGTGAGCTGTAGTCCTACTTCTCACCCTGGCATGCTGAGCCCTGTAGTCCTGAAGATGTAATTCGTGGGCGAAAAAAGACGCAAATTTCGTTTGAGAGTAGCGTTGCATGACCGCGCAATTGATGGTTAAAGTAGTGCCGTAACGCAAAAATGGCCTGGCCGGGGGCGGGGGGGGGGGGGGGGGGGCAAATTCTCAGGAGGGTGAGGAGTTAAAATGACTTTTTTTTTTGGGAAGAATAAAAATGCAACCGCGCCAAAAACGCACAACCGCGCATCTCTGCAGCTCCTCCATTGCACTCGGCTTTTTTCATTTTTAAAGTCCCCAAGCTTTTCTGAAAACACAGCGGCTCCAAAAAAGCGCAGATGTGAACGCGTCCCATAGGAAGCCATGTTGGATGGACCGGTGTGCGTTCTCTGCAAAGGGCAGTAAAAATCGTTCTTGGTGTGAGCGGATCCTGACACCCGGGACATCGCAGGCACCATGCAGGACGGAGGAGATTCGGCCATTGTCACTGTCCGCGGGGAACATGATTTGCGGGAGGAAACATGTCAACAGCAAGTATTTTTACCAATCTGCAGCCTCATCAGGTGCCAGCAGTCCGGAGCCGCGATTCACTTACCACATGTCACAGGTCAGCTGATCTCAGCACTTCTCTTGTCATCCGAAGAATAATTCTCCTTTCAGGAGGAGGTGGACAAGGTCAGACATTTGCTGGCTATTTGCAGAGCGTTCGACTACATCGACCAGCTGCCCCGATCGCTCCGGATTCAGAGCTTCCAACCGGCCGCTTCTGTGTCATGGGAAAGATTCAGCTATGGGGGGGGGGGGGAGGGGGGGGACAACTGCCATTTACAATGTGTGTGCAAATCCAGCGTCATTTCTGCTGCGATTTCTGAAGACGTTACTGTGACTTGCGAAGATTCAACGTCGGTCAAAACTGGACCGATTTTTCTTCCAGACCTAAGAATAATCAGACGATTTTCCCTTTGTTAGTGGGGTCAATGGCACCGGACGATCTT